TACTGCATGTGTATCGCATGTTATTTATCGGATATTGGATGTTTATTGAAGGTTTATTGATTGTGTACTGCATGTGTATCGCATGTTATTTATCGGATATTGGATGTTTATTGAAGGTTTATTGATTGTGTACTGCATGTGTATCGCATGTTATTTATCGGATATTGGATGTTTATTGAAGGTTTATTGATTGTGTACTGCATGTGTATCGCATGTTATTTATCGGATATTGGATGTTTATTGAAGGTTTATTGATTGTGTACTGCATGTGTATCGCATGTTATTTATCGGATATTGGATGTTTATTGAAGGTTTATTGATTGTGTACTGCATGTGTATCGCATGTTATTTATCGGATATTGGATGTTTATTGAAGGTTTATTGATTGTGTACTGCATGTGTATCGCATGTTATTTATCGGATATTGGATGTTTATTGAAGGTTTATTGATTGTGTACTGCATGTGTATCGCATGTTATTTATCGGATATTGGATGTTTATTGAAGGTTTATTGATTGTGTACTGCATGTGTATCGCATGTTATTTATCGGATATTGGATGTTTATTGAAGGTTTATTGATTGTGTACTGCATGTGTATCGCATGTTATTTATCGGATATTGGATGTTTATTGAAGGTTTATTGATTGTGTACTGCATGTGTATCGCATGTTATTTATCGGATATTGGATGTTTATTGAAGGTTTATTGATTGTGTACTGCATGTGTATCGCATGTTATTTATCGGATATTGGATGTTTATTGAAGGTTTATTGATTGTTTACTGCATCTGTATCGCATGTTATTTATCGGATATTGGATGTTTATTGAAGGTTTATTGATTGTTTACTGTATGTATATCGCATGTTATTGCTCGGATATTGGATGTATATTGAAGGTTTATTGATTGTTTACTGCATGTGTATCGCATGTTATTTATCGGATATTGGATGTTTATTGAAGGTTTATTGATTGTTTACTGCATGTGTATCGCATGTTATTTATCGGATATTGGATGTTTATTGAAGGTTTATTGATTGTTTACTGCATGTGTATCGCATGTTATTTATCGGATATTGGATGTTTATTGAAGGTTTATTGATTGTTTACTGCATGTGTATCGCATGTTATTTATCGGATATTGGATGTTTATTGAAGGTTTATTGATTGTTTACTGCATGTGTATCGCATGTTATTTATCGGATATTGGATGTTTATTGAAGGTTTATTGATTGTTTACTGCATGTGTATCGCATGTTATTTATCGGATATTGGATGTTTATTGAAGGTTTATTGATTGTTTACTGCATGTGTATCGCATGTTATTTATCGGATATTGGATGTTTATTGAAGGTTTATTGATTGTTTACTGCATGTGTATCGCATGTTATTTATCGGATATTGGATGTTTATTGAAGGTTTATTGATTGTTTACTGCATGTGTATCGCATGTTATTTATCGGATATTGGATGTTTATTGAAGGTTTATTGATTGTTTACTGCATGTGTATCGCATGTTATTTATCGGATATTGGATGTTTATTGAAGGTTTATTGATTGTTTACTGCATGTGTATCGCATGTTATTTATCGGATATTGGATGTTTATTGAAGGTTTATTGATTGTTTACTGCATGTATTTCGCATGTTATTGTCCGATATTGAATGTTTATTGAAGGTTTATTGGTAGGAAGAACAACTATTCAGTAGAATTTCCTAATCGATACGACTCCCTTATGGATGGTGAAATTAGGGACTGATGTATATTGCATGTCTATTGCGTATAGATTGCATGTGTATTGCGTGTATATTGCTTGTCTGTTGCCTGTGTATTGTTGTTTATTTCCTTCGTAAGCAATAAACAATCAATACACACGCAATAAATGTACGCTATGCTCGCAATAGACAAGCAATATAGATGCAATAGACAAGCAATATAGATGCACCAATATACATTACTTTTATGCTACTGAGTTGCCCAAGACCAATAAAATAAAGAAAATCAACGAATTTATTAACCGATTATAAAGGAAAGAGGGATTCAAACCCGATGGGCGGTACGGAACCAATAGGAAGTTTTTATAGCATTGCAGATGGGAAATGTTTATTGAAGTTTTATTGAGGTTTATTGACGGTTTACTGAATGTTTACTGAAGGTTTACTGCATGTATATCGCATGTGTTTCTATAAAGAGGGCATGGTTGAATAAAACATTGGAGGCGAGGGCATAGCCGCCTATTTCCCTTATAGAATTACAATCAATACACACGCAACCCATTGCGATTAAGTTAAGGCATGGTGAACGGCTTAAAGATTGGGATGTGATATTTGGAATGGTGGCTTGGATAAATCATGACATATTACTTTGCAATAATGTAATACACTTTAAAAAGCCATCAGTCATTGTTCACATATGCAGTCTTCCAATCCCAATTCAATGCAGTTTGGTTAAGGTTATGTAAATGTCGTGAAGGAGTTAGGGCTATGTATGGGAATGGTATGTGCCTAACTTCAAAAACGCATATGCCTATCCATTTACATTTGCCCACGTGCACTAGATTTACAGATCCATTTACTTTTCTCCTCACTAAGCCTCTGCATCTCCATTTCAGATTCTTCATTTTTCTGTCCATGCTCTGCATCCAGCTACTATATACATTTAGCCTAATATGAGAATAAATGTAGCGTAGTATCACACTAATCAAAATGAAAGCATGCATCCGCTATAATAATATTTTGGTTCTAATTGTTGTCCAATAACTTAAACTTAAAATTATGTACAAAAATACACTAAGATTGAGAAAGACGAAGAAGAATTGAGGAGCAGAGGTAGAATTCGAAAAGGAGCCGTGGATCTGTATTGTGTATTTACATGAGTTTCAAATTGGAGATTTCCAAAACCAATTTAATCATCACGTACCTGAACTCATTTCAACCACTATCATGGCATGTAAGCATCTCCCCGTAATATCTCTGCAGCCAACTTCAACCGGAAAAAGGGCATGTTCTGCGCGGTGCAAGTAGCTAACGGAATCTCAGCGCTCAAAAGCTCAATGTACTTCAACACAAACATGCCACAATCGCCTCTGAAGCAAATCAAGAACTCGATCAATTCAAGTAATGACATTGTAACGTAATTGACAATTTCAAGTAATAAAATTAAAGAAAAAGTTGTGCTCACTGATTAGATTGTTGTGGAACATCCACACGTTCTATTGGCCATGGACACCACCAATCTCTGCTGCAGTCGTTTGCGTAAACACCTTCTTCATAAAAGTCGATGGAGTTGAGAAGATTTGGAATCGTAATTGAAAGCGGGGCGAGTTCTTCCTTTAACATCTCATCTGGAATAAGTGAAACCATTGAATCGTACACTTTGCTTTCACACTTAACCAGATCAATCATTAGAGCCACCCAATTCTTATGCTTCGTCAACATACAAGGGGCATACACCTTATACACGTTCTGCCAATCCACCCCACACGCCGGAACCTTGCCATTTACAACGTTCACTAAACTGTTTCTAATTTTCCACCCAGCCTGCTCTTTTTTTCTTTTATTATCCGCAAAGCAAGTATGGATGTGATTCTGTGAAATAGAAAACAATCAATGGTTAAACATCTCCACAAAGCAAGTATGGATAATTTGTAATTATTAACTGCACTTGGTCAAGCCCTATGACATACCATGAAAAATACATCGGTCGTTGTCCAGTTCGATATTTCTACAACCTCCAAATCTTGTTGTCGCTTCCGGATGAGATACAACCCCAAATCAATGTGCTGCACATGTTTTTCTGGTCAATCTCATAATCTATGTACATTAAAACAAATGCATAATCAATTAAACTTACATCTCCTGTCAGCCAACCGTCAGCTTTTACGAGGGAAGCGAAGAATTCAATCTCAGCTTCGACGTGGCCAAATTGCATCACTAAACTGTGAATATAACAAAGTTTTAGATCACAACAATTTAAAAATATATACACTAATGCCTTCTATCTCAAAAAACAAGGGACTTACTTTGGGTTAAGGCGCCATTCCCAACAAAGTTTCAGCAATTTCACCATATCATCATGCGGAATCGCCTTCATTGGGTCTAACATCCGAAGTCGGGTTGTCTCTGGCACAGTTTTTTTCACCAATTCACTAGCTTCAATGATCTTCCACATAGGAATAATCCTCTTTCTCTTTCGTAATTGGACCCCTTGTTCCACAGCTTTACCTTTATCATTCAACCAAACGTTCAACTCAGATAGCACAGCTGTAGGTTGATCCAAATCAATATCCCCGAGATTAAACTCAACAGTTGTCCCCGCCGTGCTCTCACCAATGTCATCACAAACCAAAACAACTTCATCATCCGCTTCCTCACATTCCTTTATTTGCACTTCCTTTTCCTCACTTTTTTTACTTTTCACTTCCTTGCCCTCCCTTCTTTTTCTTTGCGGATCCTCTCCATCACTGCTTTTTCTTTGCAGTTCCCCTCCGTCACTGCTTTTTCTTTGCAGTTCCCCTCCGTCACTGCTTTTTCTTTGCAGTTCCCCTCCGTCACTGCTTTTTCTTTGCAGTTCCCCTCCGTCACTGCTTTTTCTTTGCAGTTCCCCTCCGTCACTGCTTTTTCTTTGCAGTTCCCCTCCGTCACTGCTTTTTCTTTGCAGTTCCCCTCCGTCACTGCTTTTTCTTTGCAGTTCCCCTCCGTCACTGCTTTTTCTTTGCAGTTCCCCTCCGTCACTGCTTTTTCTTTGCAGTTCCCCTCCGTCACTGCTTTTTCTTTGCAGTTCCCCTCCGTCACTGCTTTTTCTTTGCAGTTCCCCTCCGTCACTGCTTTTTCTTTGCAGTTCCCCTCCGTCACTGCTTTTTCTTTGCAGTTCCCCTCCGTCACTGCTTTTTCTTTGCAGTTCCCCTCCGTCACTGCTTTTTCTTTGCAGTTCCCCTCCGTCACTGCTTTTTCTTTGCAGTTCCCCTCCGTCACTGCTTTTTCTTTGCAGTTCCCCTCCGTCACTGCTTTTTCTTTGCAGTTCCCCTCCGTCACTGCTTTTTCTTTGCAGTTCCTCTCCCTCACTGTTTTTTCTTTTCACTTCCTCTCCCTCACTGCTCTTTCTTTGCGCTTCCTCTCCCTTGCTGCTTTTTATTTTCACTTGCTCTCCCTCTTTTCTTTTCCTTTGCGCTTCCTCTACCTCACTTGGTTTTCTTTGCACTTCACCCCCTTCAATTCCCTCCTCGTCCTTTTCCTCTCCCTCATATCTGTTACTTGGCCCTTCATCCCATTCACTATCATCCATTTCGTCAGATCCCGTAAATATATGTGAGATGGCACAACGATTCGTCCTCTCTTTCAGTAAAGCTAGGTCCCTCCTTACTTCTTGCTCAAACTGAGGACCTAAACAGTGGTCCAAAAGTTTTTTCCATCCGTATGACCTTTAACTCAAGGACGTCATTTTCCCGCTTTACTTGAAACAACTCGGACCTCAACAAGCTTACCAGCTTGTTCAACTCATCAAGATCAGCACATGAAGAAGGATTTGACTCTGCCGAGACAACAGCAGGGCGATCCTGTGGCCAACTCCAATATGATTGTCTCATTTGCTCTTCACTCGGACGTAGCGCCCGCAACTGAACTGACTGTTTCAGAATACAGACAATATTCATATTCAATCATTCTACTTAATAATTTCATTGAATCTTATAAATAGTTTCAAGGGCTGCAAACCAAACCTCTTTGCTCTGGAAAAAATAATTGTTCAACTTCCTCATCTCGGGCATAGACGTAGTCGTTCTCCATCGCAAAATACGCGGGACAGCTGTTGGATCAACAACCTTGCAGTAATTCAGGTCCACCATTCTAGGAATTAATTCATATACCCAAATCTACACAATTCACAGGACAAAAGTCATTATTTAAGTTTTAAAGTTCACAAAGCATAACTGACATGAACATTATTACCATGTACCTGGAAAGCATACGTGAAACCTTTAAAACTCCACCCACCCCTTTGCACTTCACCATGCTTATGCTTCTTGCCCTTCTCATTTTTCCGGCTTGTTCCCGTTACCTTACTTTTCCCCTTCTCTCTTCCCTCTTCATTTTCAAAGCTTTTCGTATACTTTGTTGGTGCAAAAAATAAACTGTCTTGGGTTTTGTCAAACGACACCGAACCCCACGGATACCTGTTGAACGCATCCAAGTCCTCTACAAGGGTCAGGTAATTTACATTGATGTTCAAATGCTTGTCCCTTCCCAAAACCACTAACTCAGCAAAGTAAACAAGAGCTAGCTTGTAGCCGTCATCTCTCTCTTTGCACCTCATAAATGCTTCTTCTAAAGCATTGCATGTAATTCCTTCGTCTATAAAATATCTTTTCTGAAGTCTAATTTCAGCACTTTCTCCACTGGAAACTTCAGGCACTTCCTCAAAACGAAGCCCCGAGATCAAACAGAAATCTTGACGAGTAAACTGAGCAACGTCGCACCCTATTAAGAAACTCAGTCCATCCAAGTCTTTCACACCCTGCCCTGCGACTCGACGCAACACAACTCCATGCACAATTTGCCCGCTAAACTGAATCTTGTCTATATTCAGAAGATGGCGAAAGCATGATGTCTTGAATTGTTCTAATTGTTCCGCACTCAACTTCGCTCGAATTGCAGTTAGGGTTGAATTTGCATGTGAGCAGTTGTTCACCCGTGACGCATATGCCTCTGACTCTGGCCATACCAGCTGCACGTTGGATCCCATTTCCTAAAATACAAGATGAAATAACGTTAACACATATACTACCACCACGTATTTGCACAATCATATTGGTATTTAGTATTTACATAACTAGTCAACCAGGCACATTACAAATTTTATGAAGTACATGCGCATAGGGATTACTGATCACAGCCTTTAACATCATCAAAGCAATATGACAAATTTTGTGCAAATACCTGTTAATGCAATGATTCTGTGAATTACAACCAATAGCATGTGTTTTATTTTTGGATACAAACTCCAATCAATGGTTGATGCATGAGTGAGTGTGAGTGCAATCTAGGCAAGTTCTGCACTTCACACACATGACAATTATTGTCATCTCATACACAACACAAAATAAATAAATAAATAAGAAAGATAGTGGAAGGAAGCAAAGCAAAGAATTTGCTCTGCTATCTGCTTGCTAAGCCATTGCCACATCCTTCTTTCTTTCTAGCTTTTTCTTCAGTCAGCCACTATGGTCATGGATCAACCTTTATTTCAAATGCTTTGCACTTTTATTCATGACTTTATTATTATATCTTCTCATTTTTCACAGGCAAATTTAGCAACAAGGGAAATAATATTTATTTCAAAAAATATATATATTATAGCGCCAGAGATATGTTATTGACATGTTATTGACTTCAGGGTCTCCTCCAATTCAACACCATTATCTTATTCATATCATTATTGATATGTTATTGACATGTTATTAACATGTTGTTGACTTGATTTTCATTCATTTTTTAACATATACACAAGCAAAAATTAACATGCAAGTGAAGCACAAGGAAGAGATGCCAAATCCAACAACATTGATGGTACAAATTGGGGAAAACCTTTACTCTAACCCTAAACTCAAATTCCATAAATTACTCACCAAATGTTGGTTATTGAACAATCGCAAGGTGTCTGTGCGGGGTCTTTGTGCGGCTTTGCTCCACAAATGGAACCTTTCACTTCCAACAAATACGGCTTCTCTCCTTCCCCTTCCACTGCTTCGCCACTTCCCCTTCCACTGAAAATAAATACTTTTTCAGGGTTTAGAGAATGGAGTTGCGCTGCGTTCAACCGTTTCCTTCAACCGTCGTTAATCGTTGCCTTCAACCTTTTCTCAGAGCTTAGCAGTTTCTCAGAGCTATGGGTTTTAGAGTGATGGGTTTTTTCTGTTCAAACTTCGAATTGATTTTTTCTGTTCAAACTTCGAACTTGCCTCTTTTTTTTTTTTTTTGGGACCAACTTCAATGCTGGATATTAAATTCGGGTTTGGGTTCCTCACCTACCCGATTGCAAAACTTTATCTCAATTCTCCCTAGCCTTTGGATTGATCTGATGGCTATAAAGTGAACCCCTTATAACTTACCACTCATAACTTTCCACTCATTATAGTCTGACCTATCTCTATCTCTACGAACCCTCAGAAATTGTCCATTTTGGGCCTTGGTTAGATGCCCAAAAATTTCCATTTGCTTTTGGCACGTCGAGGCTATGAAGGGAGCGGATCCACTGTTCCCATTTTCTGCGTCCCTTCATGTCCCTTGCATAATTTTTTGACACCTGTTCAATCACTTAACTCCAGCTTAATACTGTTAATTTAATAAAACTTTTTTAAAAAATAAAATTGAAAATTGAAAGAAAAATAAAACAAACAGCCACCAATGTGAGCACCCACCGCCTTAGCTGCCGCAAACCAGCCACTCACCACATCCCAAACAACCCCCCAATTTCCATGGCCGTGAGCTCCTCCCTCTCTTATGCCTCTCTTCCCCTTTTTTCTCCCTCATACTGCCCTGTCCCCTAAATTCTCTTCAATATCCAATCCATACTTATACAGTTCATTTGAATGAGGAAATTTAAAAGTACAAAGGAATTTATAAATGATTGAATTTAAAATGACGGAAATTAATGTTCTAGAATTTGTAGAATTTGTAAAGTTTCTTGTTTGGGTGACAGATTTAAAATACGGAATTTAACCTTTATTTGTGAAGTTATTTTTTAAAAAACTCAATTTCTCTTGGAATTTGAGAAATGACGACTTTTAGATAGAATTTAAAGTTGGGATTTATGACCTCCAAATTCCATGTTTTTTCCCACGTAGAATTTCTACATTTCTATGTTTTTTTATCTGAACACGGGAATTGGTTCTTGTCAATTTAGAAATTCTGACTTTTATCAAAATCCCAAGTTTATTTCCTTCATCCAAACACACGGATAAAGACCTTTTTAAGTGAGTGACTTTCATAGAGTTGATAAAAGTCACTAGTAAATTGGCAAGACTTTTGCTATTAACAATTAGCCTTAAAAGTATGGAAAAGTCATTAACTTTTTGGATACTACCAAACTTTTAAAGACTTTTTAAAAGTCACAATTGAATACCACCAAACTTTTAAATACTTTTAACTACTTTTTAAAAGTCACAATTGAATATCGCTAAACTTTTAAACACTATTTAAAAGTCACACTTGAATACCTCTAGACTTTTAAACTCTATAAAAGTCTTAAAAGTTAGAATTGGATACACCCCCTTAAAGTTAAAAATTATGTTGAAACATTTAAAGGGTAACCTAGAATAAGAAATTAGGGATTTGATTCCCTTTAGTTCTATGCAAGTTGATCCAAATTTTTTTTACTAAATTCTTGGATTGTGATGCTATTATCTTTCTATGTATTTGTTATGTGAAATTAGTATTTCTGCAGTGGTTATCACTTCGTTAAGAAAAAAAGTGCCTTTCAATAATCGATATCGTTGTGCTAATAGGGATGCTTTGATGTGCAATGCTTGCGATGAACAAGGGAGGAGGGAGGATGGGGTGGCGTTCGTTGGGTTGCGGTGACTACTACTATGTTGTTTGTTTTTAGATTTTAGATTTTTATTTCTATTTATTTTATCAGTAACGCTACGGGCACCAACTTGTTTACCAACTTTTGGATACCAACACATGTGGCACATGACATGGCAACCCATGATGTTGAATGGAAGTGGGTGTACAGGAGGAGAAGGGGTGGGGTAAGGAGGAAGACGGAACCACAAATATTAAATGGTTGGGTTTTTTTTTCTTCTGTTTTTATTTTTTCGGTGTGAAATTATTTTATTTATATAACAAATTATGTAATTAAAATAGATGAGATGGCAGATGACATGGGTTGTCATGTCATGTGCCACATGTGCTGGTATCCAAAAGTTGGTAAACAAGTTGGTGCCCATAGCATTATTGTTATTTTATATCTTGCGAGGGACACGAAGGGACATACTTTAACATTGTTAATTGGGGGTTAAGTTAATAGATACGTGTCAAAAAATTATGCAAGGGACATGAAGGGACACATAATATGGGGACAGCGGATCCGCTCCCGAATGGGAGATGTAGAATTTGGGGTACTGTGCAATTCATAATTATTAGATTAAAACAATAATAATTTGAATAAAATTATTATTAGAAAGATAATAATAAATTAGTTGTGAGATTTAATCTGACACTACGTCTTTTACAAAAGTGATTGGGGGATCGGGGTGTCAAACCCCTGGACACATAGGTAGAAGT